CTCTCACTCTCTTTTGTCTCCCTCCTTATTTCTTTCTTCTTTTCTCTTTTCTTCCTTCTCTCCCCCCTCTTTCTCTTTCCCCCTCTTTTCCCCTCATCTCTGTTTCTGTCCCCTCTCTCCCTGCTCTTTCTCCCTTCCTCTCACTCTCTTTGTCTCTCTTTTCTTTCTTCTTTTCTTTTTCTATCTTCCTCTCTCTCTCTCTCTATCTCTCTCACAGGATGGTTCTAGATATCAGTCCAGGAAGAAGGTGGTAATAGTCCCAATTTCCTCTGTTCTGGTCAAACCACAACTGAAGAAATTGTGTCCAGTTATAGAGACCACCTTTAGGAAAGACTTTTACAGACTGGAGGGAGCCCAAGGAAGGCTAATGGGGAAGACCAATGGGGAGTCCATTGGTTGAAGGAACTTCAGCTGTTTAGCCTGACTCAGAGGTGACATGATAGGGTTCAAGTACCCGAAGGACTGTCACGTGGAGGAGGGATTGACCTTGTTCTACTTCCTCCCTAATGACAGAACCAAGAGCAATAGGTTAAGATTGATATCAGGAAAAATATTCCTAATGATGAGAGCTGTTCTGAAGAGTGATATACTGCTGCAGGAGCCAGTGGGGTCCCTCATCCCAGAGGTCCCCAGGAGAAGGCGGTATGGCCCCACTTGTGGGCATTCTTACTCAAGTACCTGTTGAGATAAGGTCATTTTGTATCTCCCCAGTACCCGCACTGTGCCTTATCCTTACTAGGTACTGAATCGATGGGATAGGGCCTACACTGGTGACTTCGCTGACTTTGGGAATTCCCAAATTAGGTGACTTCATCTACCGATTCAGGTCAGCACTTTCTCTTAAACTTACAAAGTCTTGGAGAATTTCCCAGGGTAATGAGAAATTAAGTGACTTGTCCAAAGTCACATAACCAGTATGTGTCAGAGTTGGGACTTGAACTCAGATCTTTCAGCTTCTAGCACTTAGCACAAGTACCTGACATAGAGCAGGCACTTAATAAATGTTTACTGATTGGTTGGTTGGCTTAAGGCCAGCACTCTATCCACATGTTAAATGACCTTTGATGTTCCTTCCATTTCTGGTCTACGATTCTCTGACAATGTTGAACGAGTACATGCCACTAAGTGATTAGGCTGCCCACCCCCACAATCAATCCACAGGGAGGCAGATATCAGCATGTAGCTGGGAGAAGGCTGGGAAAGAGAGGGACACTCACCAGAAGGACGCTGTCTGTTCCCTGCAGTTTCCTCATCGCCATGTGCAAATCCTTGAGGCTGACATGGGGGAATTCCTCCACTCCACTGTCAATCATGAAACACTTAAATCCTGGCACTCCAGCCTCCCTCATGGGTTTGAGTTCAGCCTAAAAGAGGCAGAAACGATGAGAGCCTCCAATCATGACCTTCCAATAAAATCAAATGCTCAGCCAGGTTCACAGAGAGAAGGCAGGCCGACTCACGGAGTTTCTGGTGTGTGTTGAACAAAGGTGGTGGAAAAGCAAGCCGTAGGTGGAGGACTTGGCTTGCGGCAGACTGGAGGCTTTGTATGCGGTCCCTCTCAGCTCAAACACTGGATGCTTCTAGGATTCCACCTGATTCCTGAAACAAGGGACCTAACTAGGTCGGGGTGGGTGAACAGGGCATGGGACACTTTCTGGGCTCCAACAAAGTCTGCCGTTTTCTCAGCACCATTCAGACTAAGACTTATTATCAGAAACATCCAACTCAATGAATTTCAGTTTCTGAGTCAAGAAGGAAGGGGAGGAATCCTCAGAACCAGCACTAGAACACCCCCTACACACACACACACACACACACACACACACACACACACACACACACACGCCCCTTCCTGAAGCTGTCCTATACAGGTGGAGCAGTTGATACGTCTCTCCTACCATCGCTATTATCGGAGTGACCCTGTGCCCTGGATTTTCTGGGAGTCATAGCACCGTAGAATTTCAGAACTGAAAGGGACCTCAGACATCTAAGTCCAACCCATACCTGAAAAGGAATCCTCACTACATCATGCAACCTCAGTGGTCTTCCAGCCTCTGCTTGAAGACCCCCAAGGAGGTGTCCCTTTGGGGCGGCTCTCATTGTGAGCAAGGTTTTCTAGGCTCTGGCCTAGGCACGAGGCACAAATACCCCAGAGCCTATGGCTCTGAGTCTTTTAACTGTTCACCAGACAACTTCCAAAAAAGGTGTATTGTTATTTGCACAGCAATACTAAAATGTTATTTGCTAATACTCCCTCTCTTTTCCAACAGGCTAGATTTTCTTCATATATGTCAACCAAAACAACATATCTTGAGAGACTGAATGCAAAGAAGATATGAGAACCCAGCCATCATCTGTTAAATCAAATGTTAAAGATATTTGCAAAAATATATAAAATAATGCCACTCTTTTCATTTTTTTTTGTTTTGGTTTATTTAGTTGTTTTCATTAAAAATGTTATTCATGCTAGCATATAATGGACTTATTATTCTAAATGAATAAATAAATATTTTAAATTATATTAGTTTTAATTTCTAATGTGGTAAACATCGATAGATATGACTTATATAAACAAAAGCTCTTTGAGGTCCTCAATAATTTTTTTTTTCTTAGGCAATGGAGTTAAGTAACTTGCCCAGGGTCTATCTAGCTGCCCCGTCCTCAATAATTTTTAAGAATATAAAATCTTTCTAAGACCAAAAAGTTTGGCAATTGTTGCATTAAATCATAGAGGAAACAATTCCTTGGGAGCTGGGATTTTTTCTTGCTCTGTCTTGAGGGCAGGAACCTTTCTTTGTATCCTTCATGCTTAGCACAATACGGGCACATAGTAGGTACTTAATAAATGCAAGTCTATTGATTGATTGACTGATTGATTGATTGATCAATCCTGGTCTAAAGACCAAGAGTTCTTAACTCTGTGTGTGTATGTGTATGTGGGTGTATGGGCACATATGTATGCTATGTGTGTATCTGGGATGATTCATTTGGCAACAATCTGGTGAAACTTATGGATCCCTTCTCAGAATAATGTTTTTAAATGTATAAAATAAAATACGCAGGATTACAAAGAAAATCATTTATTTTGAAATTTAGTTATCAAAATGTAAAAAAAAAAAACAAAAATAAATTCATAGATTTCAGGTTAAGAACTCTTGCTCTAGACTCCTGAAATCACAGATTGTCAAACTATGGAAGTAATTGTTATTACTATTAAAAACTTCCTGGATAAAGCACCAGCTCTGGAGTCAGAAGCCCTGAATTCAAATCAGGCCTCAGACATTCACTAGCTGTGTGACCCTGGGTGAGTCACTTAACCCTGATTGCCTCTAAAAACAACAATAACAAAACCACACTCCCCCAAACAATGATGAAAATGAAATGTTAGTGGAAGTGCTGTAAAGCATTGAGTTCAGTGAGATTATCTCCCCACTGTTCGCATTTTGTTTGCACATAGTTATTTATATGTTGTCTCCCCCATCAGAGCGTGAGTTTCTTGAGGGGAAACTCATGTTTTTTTCTGTTCTTCGTATCCTTGGCACTTAGCACTGTATCTGGTGTAGAGAAAGGGCCTGTTAACTGACTGAGTGACTGACATTTATGGACTATCTTCCACATTCCAGGCTTTGTTCTAGGGGCTTTCAGGGGAGGATTTAACTCCAGGAAAGCAAACAGCATGCATTACTCACAGTATTCCCAGGGATCAGCCCGCCCCAGAAGGCCACGTCCACATGGCATTGTCTTCTGGCTGCCCTGAGCTTGGTGTGGAAATTGGTCAAGGTGGTCGTTGGAGGCTGGCAGTTCCTAGAGGAGCAGAAGAAATCAGTTAGTGGAGTTTCCCTCCTAGGCAAGAACCAAGCTCGTCCCAAAGCCGTGTGAGCTCTATCTAGGTCGGGCTCATCAGTGTCGGGAGCACACGGGTGGCCATCTGTGCTCTTTGAGACTGCAGGGCAAGCAGACCTCCGGGAGATCTGGCTGCCCTGGATAATACTTGGGAAAGGTGGATGGAGAGAAGCTGGGCAGTGAGAGGAAGTGGGGAGAGCCTATGGGCAAGAAGCATTTGAAGGTCACAGGAATGGCAGCGACTGCCGAACAGGGCAGCCTCAGAGGACTCTCTGGGGTGAAGCTCAGCAAACAAACAAAGCTCCCCATGCAAATCTCCCACTGGAAGCTTCCATATCCTCTTACTCTTGAGAAGGACAACATGGCGCCATGGAGTGAGAGTGAGGACGGAACCAGAGATCCCACTTCTGACACTCACTACCGGGGTGAACTCGGTTACTTCTGCTTCCTGGGCCTCAGTTTACTCATCTGTAAAGGGAGTGGCTTTTTCCTGTGCTGAAGCTGTGATCCTATGCTAGGACTCACAAGCATCTGAGGGCCAGAGTCCACCGGGAGAGGGCAGGGTTTGTTCACATGTAATTCTAGGAAATTCCTGAAAGGGGGAGCTAAGAGACAATTTTTGGGATTTGACATGGCAGCACTGGATAGCAGATAGAAATTGTCATCACCTGGGGGCAAACTTGGGCTGCGCTTTGCCAGAGCTCGTTATTTTCCACAAAGCTCCAGGGCCCCTCGTTAAAAAGGTGGTCCTCTGAGATCCTGTGGTCATTCCTGGGAGATTCCATTCAGTTCATTTCTCTGAGAAAACCCTCCTTTTCTCCACCATACCACAATTTTTAAAGCGCTGCAGAAAAAGAAGCCCAGCTTGGATGGAAACCTCTCTCTAGGGAGCTAAGGGAAGCAAAGTGTGTGTGTGTGTGTGTGTGTGTGTGTGTGTGTGTGTGTGTGTGTG